CAGTGGATTTGTCAGCAGAAACTTTGCAATCCAGAAGGCGGTGGGATGATATATTTAATGTGTTGGGAAAACAAAACAAAACAAAAAAACTGTCAACTGAGCAACAAAGAAAAAGTGTTTACCGAGAATTTTATATTGGGCAAAACTGCCCTTCACAAATGAGGGTTGAGATATTTGCAGACAGACGAAAACTTGAGGGAGTTCATTATCAGTAGACCAGCCCTGTAAGAAATCCTAGCCCTGGCGCGGTGGCTCACGCCTGTAATCCCAGCACTTTGGGAGGCCGAGATGGGTGGATCATGAGGTCAGGAGTTCAAGACCAGCCTGGTCAAGATGGTGAAACCCCGTCTCTACTAAAAATACAAAAATTAGCCAGGCATGGTGGCAGGTGCCTGTAATCCCAGCTACTTGGGAGGCTGAGGCAAAGAATTGCTTGAACCTAGGAGGCGGAGCTTGCAGTGAGCTGAGATTGTGCCACTGCACCCCACTCCAGCCTGGGCGACAGAGCGGAACTCAGTCTCAAAAAAAAAAAGAAAAAAAAGAAATCCTAAAGGGAGACCTTCAAGATGAAATGAAAGGACACTAGACAGTAACTCAAAGTCATACAAAAAGATAAAGATCTCCGGTTAAGGTAAGTACATGGACAAATATAAATACCCATATCGTAATTTTGGCTTATAATTCTGCTTTTTCATTTTCTACAGGATTTAAAAGATACATACATAAAATAATTATAAATCTATGTCGATAAGTACATTGATATCAATGTAAGATGAATTGATTTAAGGTTGTTATAACATAGGATATTATGTATAATCCTTACAGTAACCACAACAAAAGCATCTAAAGTATATGTAAAAGGAAATGAGAAAGGAATAAAAATAGGCCACTAAAAACATCAATTAAACACAAAGGAAGGCAATAATGGAGGAATTTAGGGGCAAAATAGTTAATAGGACATACAGAAAATAAATAAAGTGGCAAAAGTGAGTTCTTCCCTATTCTTAATTATTTCAAATGTAAATGGATCAAATTCCCTAATTAAAAGATGTAGATTGGCAGAACAGATTTAAAAACCGGTGTCCAACTATATCTTATCCGTAAGAGACTCACTTTAGATCCAAGAATTACACAGGTTGAAAATAAAAGCATGGAAAAGGATATTTCATGCAAATAGTAACCAAAAGAGAGCAGGGGTGGTTGTGTTAATATTAGACAGAATAGACTTCAAGTCAACAACTGTTAGAAGAGAAGAAAGGCATTATCTGATGGTAAAAAGTGAATTCACCAAGGAGGTTTAACAATTATATACATAAATTCAACAAACAATAGAGCCCCAAAGTGTATGAAGCAAACATTGACAGAATTGAAGGGAAAAACAGCTCTGCAATAATAGTGGGAGACTTCAGTAGCCGACTTTCATAATGGGTAAAACATTCAGACAGAAGATCAGTAAGTAATGAGAGGATTTGAACGACACTTAACAGAGATATATAGAATTTTCCTTCCAACAACAGCACAATACATATTTTTCTCAAGTACACAATGAACACTCCAGGATAAATCATGTGTTAGGCCCCAAAACAAGCTTTTAAATACATTTTAAAAGATTGAAATCATTCATTTTTTTCCAATGACAATACAGTGAAACTAGAAATCAACAGCAGAAGAAAAATTGAAAAATTCACAAATATGTGGAAGTTAAACAATACATGCTTAACGAAAGGGTTGAAGAATAATTCACAAGGGACGTTAGAAAATGGCTTGAAGTAAATGAAAACACACACCAAAACTTACAGGACGCAGCAAAAGTAACGCTAAGAGGGAAATTTATAGCTGTAAATGCTTACATTAGAAAAGAAGAAAGGTCTAAATCAACAATTAACTTTTCACCTTAAGGAACTAGGAAAAGGAAAACCCCCCCAGAGCTAACCAGAGGAAGGAAACAACAAATATTAGAACAGAGATAAGTAAAACAAAGAATAGAAAAACAACAGAGGCAATCAGTGAAACCAAGAGTTGGTTCTTTGAAAAGATCAAGAAAATGGTGGATAAATATTTAGCTAGATTGACTAAGAGAAAAGAAGGAAGACTCAAATAATTAACATCAAAAAAAAAGAGGGGACATTGCTACTGATTTTACAGAAATAAAAAGGAGTATAAGAGAGTACTGTGAACATTTGCATACCAACAAATTGAATAGTCTACATGAAATGGATGAATTGCTAGAAATATACATCTAGGAAGAATGTCATGAAGACGTAGAAAACCTGAATATACGTGTAACTATTTAAGGAAATTGAATCAGTAATCAGAAACCTCTGAACAAAGTAAAGCTCAGAACCTTAAGACTTTACTGGTGAATTCTACCAAGCATTTAAAGAATCTGCACCAATCCAACCGGGCACAGTGGCTCATGCCTGTAATCCCAGCATTTTAGGAGGCTGAGGTGGGCAGATCACGAGTTCAGGAGTTCGAGACCATCCTGGCCAACACAGTGAAACCCCGTCTCTACTAAAAATACAAAAAGTAGCTGGGCGTGGTGGCACATGCCTGTAATCCCAGCTACTCGGGAGACTGAGGCAGGAGAATAACTTGAACCAGGGAGTCGGAGGTTGCAGTGAGCCAAGATTGAGCCATTGCACTCCAGCCTGGCAACAGAGTGAGACTCCCTCTCAAAAAAAAAAAAAAGAAGAATTTGCAACAGTGCTTCTCAAACACTTCCAAAAAACTGAAGAGGAAGAAACACGTTCCAATTAATTCTCTAAAGCCAGCATTACTCCAATACCAAAATCAAAGACTGCAAGAAAGAAAACTACAGACCAATAATCCTTATGAATGTTAATGCAAAAATATTCCGTAAAATGCTAGCAAACTGAATTCAGCAGCATATTGAAAGGATGACACACAAAGTAGGATTTATTCCTGGAATTCAAAAATAGTTCAACATCCTTCAAAAATCAGTGTAATACACCACAGTAATGAATAAAGGAATAAAGACACACAATCATTTCATTGATGTGGAAAAGTATTTGACAAAATTCAACATCATTTTAAAGATGACAAAAACAACACATTAAAAATAAAAGGAAACAAGCCAGGCACGGTGGCTTGCGCCTCTTGAGGTCAGGAGTTCAAGGCCCGCCTGACCAACATGATGAAACCCCATCTCTACAAAAAAATATAAAAATTAGCCAGGCATGGTGGTGTGCTCCTGTAGTCCCAGCTGCTTGCCTGGGTGGCCAAGGCACGAGAATCACTTAAGCCTGGAAAATGGAGGTTGCAGTGAGCTGAGATTGCAACACTGCACTCCAGCCTGGGGGACAGAGTGTCTCCGTCTCAATTAAAAAAAAAAAAAAGGAAACTACTTCAACGTAAGGTCATTTATGAAAAACCCAGAGCTAACATCATCCTCAGTGGTATCATGATTGAATTGTTTTTCCTCTAATATCAGCTACAAAGAATGGATACCTGTTTTTGCTAGAAAAGGACAAAGATTGTATGATTTCATGTTGTACCTAGTCATCAAATTCACAGAGACAGAAAAGAGAATGGTAGTTGCTAGTAGCTGGGGGACTGGGGAATGGGGAGTTACTGTTGAATGAGTACAGAGTTTCAGTTTGGAAAGTGTCTATAGCTATATAGGTGTTATAGTTGCATTACAGTGTGGATATACCTAATGCCAGTTAACTGTACACTTAAAATTGCTTAAAATGATTTTTGTTATGTATATTTTGCCACCATAAGAGGAAATCAAGAGAGAAAAACTTGCTGTTTAGAAATAACAATGAAATTACTGTGGATCAATATTTAAATTCTGATGCTAATTTCAATTTTTAAATTCATTTATTAAAAAAGAAAGACGGAAAGTAAAAGAATAATTTAGAAAACTAGAAAAGGAACAAAGTAAAGACAATAGAATTATATGCGTTATTACATTATTAAGATAAAAACGAACATAATATAAATATTAACTAATTCATTGAAAAGAGTAAAATAGAGACACTTTTGAAAAGTCTAATCTGAGGGAAAAAGGCAAATACATAGAAACGCTTAAGAAGCAGAAAGGCCATCTAACCAATAACAGTATTTATTTATTATAATACTTTGTGTACAATTTTATTCAAATACATTTGGAAAAATAAGGACAAAGGAATAATGGCTACACTTACTGAGTGTTTATGGTAAGGTAGGAACTGTCATTCTTGGTGCTTTCCATGGATTATCTCATTTAATACTCAGAATATCCTTTGTGATGGGCACTGTTATACCCATTTTACTTACGAGAAAACTAAGGCACAGTGCACTTTAGGTAACTTGCTCAGGGTCACAACCAGTAAGTAGCAGGGTCAGGATCTGAATCCATACGGTCTTACTGCAAAGCTGACACTTTTTATCAACCTCTCTCCACAGACAGCTGTCAAGGAAATTGGTCAAAATGAAAACCACAGAAAAATCTCCCTATGCCCCTTTTTTTTGATCTTATGACATTTGTTGTATTTTGTACTTTTTCTTTAGGTCATCGAGACATATTAATTATCCCAGTATTCTTCAAAGCACAGTGTACTGTGCTTTGGTATTCACTGAAAGTTAGTTCACAATAAAACTGAATAACTAGCATTCCTTTTCCTCTCCCTCTCCTTCCACTGACTCTAACAGCAGGAACTAAGAACAGAAACAAAGCTAATGACCTACCTGTTGTATAACAGTTCCTCAACACTTGTCTCCACATGGTGAGAGACTCATCACTTACAAATCCTTGCTTTATGGATCAAGAAATGATGAAGCTTAGGCGCACAGTAACACGTGTCTAAAATTTTTGTCTGTAAAGATTGAAGGATATGCATCCTAATGGAATCTCTCCCATTCACCAAACAACTGGCTTAAGCATACATCCGAAGAACATTTTCTTAGATCCATTTCTGATTTTCTTTAGAACCCAAACGCATTGTACATTGTAGGAGAGAAAGGGATGCTGAGCCCCTCTCCTCTGCCTCCAGGTTACAGAATGGAAGTGAGAATGCAGTACCTTACCCCTGGCGGTGCTGCGTCGCAGGAGCCACCATTTCCTGCTGGAGATGTAAGATTTGCACGATCCAGAGATGTCCTCCAGTAAAAGTCCTTTGTGAGGAGGGGTGCGTAAAGGAGGCAGAGAGAACATCAAATATAACGTATGGCCGACCTTACAAGTTCAAAGATAAATTTCCCCCGAATTGTAACGTTTTCAAGCATATAGGCAGTATGGCCTTGCCCCGGTTCCCCTCAGCAACTGTAACAGGCATTGGGTGCTCATACAGAGCATCGTATAAAGCCTCCATATGAGAGAAGCTGTGGGGAGTAGACCCACAGCTAAACCACTGTGATGAATCAGTTTAGAATTTTAATTAGCACTAATTAAAACCATCCATGGGCTGTATGGAAACACCTTGGATGCCAGTCAACTGAGTGATTCAGTCAGATCTACTGAATTGAAATCTCTACAGATGAGGACTGTAAACCAGCACTTCCATAGACTTTCCAGTTGATTAACTACTTTTTGCTAAGTTGCGGGGTTTTTTTACTTTTTAATAGTTTTAATAAAGTATAATTGACATGCAATAAACTGTACATACTTAAAGTATACAATTGATAAGTTTTGACTTATGTACCTGTGAGACCATCACCGCAATTAACATAATGAACATACCCATCACCCCAGAATTTTCCTTCTGCCGCTTTGTGACCCACCCCTCCCATTCTTCCCCATCCCCTTATCCGCAAGCAACCACTAGTCTACTTTCTGGCTCTGTGGATTAGTTGGCATTTTGGGGATTTTTATATAAATGAAAGCTTTGGGGAACAATCTGTAAGCTTAAAGCTGCTACAAAAGAAAAACCTAAATTTAGGAAAAGTTTTTAAACAGTGGAAGGTGATGTTTATAGCAGAAATGAAGTTGATATTCGTAGGTTTTCTATAATACTTTTCTCCTTAATAGCATAGAATGTAAAAATAAAATGTTTATTTTTAAATTAATTAAAATTTTAATAATTTTCCATTTTTATGTTCCCGAGCTACCTCTTGAACCCAAAGTTGTTTCACTTGATTTTTGTTTGTATTTTTAATCTTTTTACAGAGCATACAGGATTGGACAGTGTAGAGATGTCAAAGTGCTTAGGCTGATATCCTTGGGAACTGTGGAGGAAATCATGTATTTACGACAGGTATACAAGCAGGTAAATATGTTTCCCTTGTGTTTCAGAGGTCAACATTTATGTTTTTAAAAATTAGGAAAAACTTGTGTAATATGAAAGTTTTAAATTTTACTGTATCATGTAGAATTTAATAAGGTCATAAAAAATACCCTTGAATACACTTCTGTGAAACAGATTAATTTTTGGGTTCATTGAATTTTTGAGCTGAAAGTTTTCTAGAGTAGTGCCTCTTAAACTTTAGTGTACATGCAAATTACCTAGGGATCTTGTCAAAATACTGATTCTGATTTAGTAGGTCTGAGGTAGAGCTCATGATGTGGAATATTTAACTGGCTCCCAAGAGTCCTAGTAAAACTAATCAGCAGCCCACAGTTTGAGTAGCAAGGTCACAGCTCCCCAAACTACAGGCCAAGATATAATGGTTTACCACAAATGGGCTACAGGTGCACTGAGATGTTGGTCCCACAGCTTTCTGGACAGCAAGAGTACCTAAGCCTGTGTGTTAGTTCATTCTCATGCTGCCATAAAGAACTGCCCAACACTGGGTAGTTTATAAAGGAAAGAGGTTTAATTGACTCACAGTTCCACATGGTGGGGGAAGCCTCAGGAAACTTACCATCATGGTGGAAGGGGAAGCAGACGTGCCCTTCTTCACATGATGGCAGGAAGGAGAAGTTCTGAGCAAAGAGGGAAAAGCCACTTATAAAACTTTCGGATCTCTTGAGAGCTCATTGTAATGGAAGCAGCAGCATGGGTATAACTGCCCCATGATTCACTTACCCACCAGATCCCTCTCACAGCACGTGGGGATTATGGGAACTGTAATTCAAGATGAAATTAGGGTGGGGACACAGCAAAACCATATCAGCTAGCTTCCAGCCTTGACTAACCTCTTCTTTTTACACCAGGTAGATATTCATATGTTACCATTCTCTATAGGTGCCACCACATGAAGATTAGGGAGCACTGCCTTAGAGGTACATACTGTACATGATGAAACTAGGCCCCAGAGATGTGCCAGTAAATGAAATTATAGGAACAGAACTTAAGTGTGCTAACTACTTTCCTGGTACTTTTAGTATTTGTCTAAAATTGCATTAACTCTTAAATATGCTTGGCATATCAATTACTACTTCATTTATGCCTCTAAACAAACAATATTTATTTAATTTACAACTGGATACTTGAGACAATCTGGAATAAGGTTCAAGTGTAATTGTAAATATTGCTTTTGAATTGCTTCCTATATGTTCAGTTGGCATCTATTTAAGAGCAAACATCTGCCACATGTGTTGGTAGTTAACCTAAGAGTGATCCAATCTTAAATTTATGCTATTTTCTTCATTCTAAAAATAGAGTCGTACACAGCAGTTTCTGTTTTTCTTAAAGCTTTTAGCTCTATAATAAACAGTTGATCTTTTTTTTTTTTTTTTTTTGGTATAGCACAACTACTTGAAAATTACTTTTTTCTAACCTATTTAACCAACCTTGGGAAAAAGTGGGAAGTTACTCATCTTAGGAGCTGTTCTTTTGAGTACTGTCTTAGACTTCTCTCAAGTAAGAGTCTTTCCTCAATTATGTAGTAATTTTTTTCGGTCCATTACTGTATACATTTCTTTTTTACCTATTCATCTGACTCATTTAATGAAATGTCTTGTTATAAAATATACATTACACAGTAGTATATAATAAAAGAGGCTTCAGAAGATGAGGTAATTTAAGAACTTTATATGACACAAATAAAGAGAAAATGGCAATCATGTAAGGAAAAGGCACTAAATATGGTTTAAAGATAGTTTGGAATTTAAACCAATGGAGCATACCTTCTAGCCTCCCAGGTTGGCCTTCAATCTTTTGCGGGGACAAAAAAAAAAAAAAAAATTATGTTCTTTAAAAAAAAAAAAAAACCTGTAAAAATGTTAGAAAGCAAGAAGAGTTCTCTTGGTGGCCCCAAAATTGTAAGGAGTCCTAAAAGACAAGGAAGTTGGGATCAGATTGAAGGAAGAAGCCAACCTAAACTTAGTCAGAAGAAAACTACTGAAAAGGTAAGTGCAGCCTCTGGATATTCCAAGCTTAGAGTCAGCAGCTACTAAAAAAGAAGGAAGCCTTGGGGTATCACTGATGGTGTAACAAGACAGTTTAGCCCTTATAATCTTATCCCGTTTGGACCAAATTACAGCCAGCAGAGGTGTCTACTCTCAAGTGAGAACAATAAGTAGAAGTACTGGAAGCAAAGAAGCAAGACAGAGCTCCAAATATTTCTAATATTCAGAAGAAAGTCCCTCCTGTTGCCCAGAAGCCTAATTACTTGCACCCTCCACTATTTTTCAGATAAGCACTGCAGTAGACAGAGATAAGCGTGTGAAGTATTTAAAAGCAGATGAATATCCCAGCCAGAAATAATTACCCAACAGTTTAGGAAAGTAAACACTTTGAAAAAGGCAGTATAGTGGGCTGAATACTGGCCTTCAAAAATATCAATTTCTAATCCCTGGAAATTGTAAATGGTACTTTATATGGAAAAGGAATCTTTGCATGTGTGATTAAATTATGGGTCTTGAGATTCGGGGATTATCTTGGATTAACCACAAGTGTCCTTATAAGAAAGAGCTGGAGGACAGTTTGACACAGAAGAGGAGAAGACAATGTAACCACAGAGGCATTGATCGGAGTGATGTGCCAGAAGCTAAGGAATGCTGGTAGCCACCGCAAGCTGGAAGAGGCAAGAAATAGATTCTTTCCTAGAGCCTCCAGAAGGAGTGTGGTCCTGTCAACACCTTGATTTCAGTTCAGTGATACCGATTGCAGATTTCTGGCTCCCAAAACTGTGAGAGGCTCAAATGATCCTCCCACCTCAGCATCACGAGTAGCTGGCACTATAGGTGTGTGCCAACACACCAAGTTAATTTTTTATTTTTATTTTTTGTAGAGACAGTTTCACTATGTTGCCCAGACTGGTTGAAACTAAATTGTTAATTCAGAACTCTCCCACAAAGATAGATTCCAGCCCGGATGACTTCAGTGGTAAATTCTGTCAAACACTTAATATTGTTTTTGAAAACATAGGAAGAGGGAACACTTCCAACTTATTTCACAAAGACGGAAGAATCCTGATACCAAACTTGACAAAGACATTGCAAGGAGAGAAAATAACAGATGAATATCTCTCATGAACATAAATATGAAAATCTTTTACCAAGCATCTGTTTTGAGTCAATTGCGTCCTTTCCCCTCAAAAGATAGGTTGAAGTCCTAAGCCCTGGTACCTGTGAATGTGATCTTATTTGTAAGTAGGGTCTTTACAGATGAGGTTAAGATGAGGTCACACTGGATGAGAATGGGCTGTCATCCATTGACTGATACCTTATAAGAAGGGGGAAATTTGTATACAGACAGCCACAGAGGAAGAACACCATGTGACAATGGAGGCAGAGATTGGAGTGATGCCACCACAAGCCAAAGAATGCTATGGATTACCAGCAACTGCCAGAAGCTACCAGAAGCTAGAAAGAGGCAAGGAAGGATCATTCCCTAGAATCTTCAGACAGAGCATGGCTCCGTGGACACCTTGATTTCAGATTTAGCCTCCACAACTATGAGAAAATAAATTTCTATTGTTTTAAGACATCCAATTTGTAGTACTTTGTTACAGCAGAATTGGGAAACTAGTATAGCCTCTAAGGCAAATACCAAGTAAATTTGACTATATTTTTGTATGAAACTTCTGTATGACAAAGGAACTGCAAACCAAATTCAAAGAGAGTCTAGGAGCAAATGTTTGCCATACATGTAATAAAAGAGCAGCAGCTGCAAAATATAAAGAACTCCCACTGTATTCGTCTGTTTTCATGCTGCTGATAAAGACATACCAGAGATTGGGTTATAAAGGAGAAGAGGTTTAATGGACTCACAGTTCTGCATGGCTGGGGAGACCTCACAATCATGGCAGAAGGCGAAAGGCACATCTTATATGGAGGCAGGCAAAGAGAATGAGAATCAAACGAAGGAGGTTTCCCCTTATAAAACCATCAGATCTCATGAGACTTATTACCACGAGAACAGTAGGGGGGAAGCCGCCCACATGATTCAGTTATCTCCCACTGGGTCCCTCCCACAACACATGGGAATTATGGGAGCTGCAGTTCAAGATGAGATTTGGGTGGGGACACAGCCAAACTGTGTGACCTACAAACCAATAAAAAGAATAATAGGCATTTCACTGAAGAAAAAAATGCAAGTGGTTAACACATATGTGAAAAGATCTTTCTAACCACACTCATAATCTAGAGAGAGAAAATGAGACCATTTGCATTGTATATTCTGCGAAAGCTTTTTTAAAAAATGCATATCGAGGTGTTTTTTGTGGGGTTGGGGAGATTGGTGCTGTTCATTGTTGGTTGGGGCATTTGAGAGATGCTCATACACTATTGTTGAGAGTACAGCTGGTGTAGGTATTGTCGAGGCTCCATACCTAACTGACAGAAATCCTCTCACATATGCACAGTGAAGGGTGATAAGGGTTTTTACTTAGCATTGCTCTCATTTGTTTAAAAAACAAAGGAAACAACCTAAATGTCCGACAGTAACAGAATAAATTCTGATACCTATATTACTTCGTGACAGCAAAATTTAAAAAAATTGTAGTCAGATCAAATGTACTGATGTGGCAAGATGTCTGAAGACACTTTTAAGTGAGTCAAAAAAGCAATATATAGAACAATATCTACAGTGTTTCAGTGTGTTTACAAATAAAGCTGTTGCTGTGTGACAGACTGTTTTATGACATGGTTCAACTTAATGATTTTTCAGTTTTATGATGGTGCTAAAATGATACCTATTTATGTGTGAAGTATGTTCCTCTACTTACGATGGGGCCACATCCAGATAAGCCTATTCGTGAGTCCAAAACCTACTTTAGACCTAATGATGTTTTCAACTTACAATGGGTTTATCTAGTTATAGTCCCATCATCAATTAAGGAGCATCTGTATGTATAAATAGCTTTAACTTCATTGAAAGATATCTAGGAGGATGCACCTAAACATTACAGCACTGGTTAGACTAATAAGGAGTGACCTGTATTGTTCATGAGGGACTTTTATTTTGATATCTTTTGTTGCATCTGTTGTGATGATGCAATCAGATATTTTATACATTTTAAAAATATAAACATCACTTATACAGCAGCTGTGCTCCTTCAGGTTTGGAGCATTTAAGCAATCTAAAGTTTGGCATTCAGAAAGTCATCTCGTGTGTGTGTGTGTGTGTGTGTGTGTGTCTGTGTGTGTGTGTGTGTGTGTCTGTGTGTGTGTGTGTCTGTGTAAATGTTATTTAGAAGTGTTTGCAGAAGAATTGCAAGAATAGCAGAAAGAACCCCCAATTAGCTTCACTCAAGTTCCCTATTTGCTGACATTTTACACACCTGCTTTCTCTTTGTCTCAGCTATTGTCTTTATTCTTTTTCTGAGTCATTTGAGAGAGAATTAGACTTCTCATCAGCATGTATTTCCCCAAAGAAGCAACACTCTAAATTTTCCAGTATGTATTTCCCCAAATAATATATACATGTATTTCTAGTATATATTCCCCACTCCTACTTAAATACACATAAAAAACAGTTTTATGCATTCTAAACACTCAGTTGTGTATACAGTTCTACAACTCACTTTCCTCACTCCCCACGTTCCTCTCCAAAATGCAGTTATTCACATCAAGAAATTAACATTGATAAAACGTCATGCTGTAATCCACAGGACCCATTCAGTTTCCCCAGCTCTCCCAGCAGTGTCTCTTTTTTCCTTCCTGGTCCAGGATTTCATCAAGGATCATGGCTCCATTTACTGATGTCTCTTCAGTTTTTTTCAACCTAGAATATTACCCAGGCTTTGTCTTTCGAGACCTTGACAATTTTAAAGAATAAGGCCTTTGTGTAGGATGTCCTTCAGTCTAGGCCCATTTGATATTTCCTCATGTCCAGACTGAGGCCAAGCAGTCTTGGCAGGAATACCACAGACACGATACTGTGCATCAGTCAGAAGGCACATGAGGTGACTTGCCCTACTAACCTTGATCACAGGTCAAGTTTGTGTCTGCTGAGTTTCTCCACTGCAAAGTTACTATTTTTTTCTTTGTAATTGATGTGTAATTTATGAGGAGATCCTCTGAGACTGCCAGTTTCTCATCAAACCTGCACCCATAACCCTTAGTGTTCATTTGTGATTCCCGCCTGAATCAGCTACCACTGTAATGGTTGTCAGGTGGTGACTTTTCTTTTTCCATTATCCTTCTTGGTTGTTCTTTGGAACTCTACCATTAAAAAAAGAGCTTTCCCTTCTATTTAATTTGTGTGGTCTCATGGCTTCCCATTTTAGTAACAGATTACAACACATTGAATATCACTATTTACTTTAAATGTTGACACTGTCTTATATTTGGCCAGTGGGCACCCATTAGGGTGGCTTGTGTGTCATTTCGACTTGCTCCCATCCTTCTTTTTGCACTTCTTTACTGTGGTAGGCTGAATAATAGTCTCCCAAAGATGCTCACATCATAATCCCCCAAACCACCTGGGTTATCCAGATGGGCCAGTGTAATCACAAGGGTTTTTTTTTATAAGGGTCAGATGTGCACATCTTCATCTCTGCTTTCTCTGACCCTACTGCCTAATAACCCATGGTAAGGAAGCAAAGAGTCAGAGAGAAAAATACGAAGATGCCACACTGCTGGCCTTGAAGTTGGAAGAATGGCCATGAACTTCTTAACATCATAAATGTTCTTTTCTTTTTACTTCTTTCTTTGTCTGTTGTTATGATGAGATCCAAGCATTTTCTCCCTTGTATGGATTTTTCATAAGCTAGAAACTAAGCTACATTTTCTAATTACTAATTTTTCCCCTACCCTCTTGAATTTTAACATGATTTTTTTTTTTTATAGTTAGCCTACAGATGGAAGCACCTGGTTTCCACTTTTACTGGAGCCACTTTAGTGCAAACTAATGTGCTTTTTATAAATTTTGTGATAAAACTTTGCTAGGAAGCTTATAAAGACTCAAATTGAGGCTTACAAATTACCTTGGTGATTATAGTTACAGGTCCTACAGTCTGACATTATCGGTGTTTAAGGTAGTTCAGTAACAAGGGGAAAATCGGTAGGTCCCTGGGCTGTCACTTGCATCAATTGTAATTGTAATTTTGTGCTCCCAAGATTACAGCCCATGTTTCTGGACATTTGGTGTCAAACTGATCAAGTTGGTATGTTGATCCATAACTTCTTTAAGTGAAGGTCCCGAGAGTTTTGTTTTAAGAGAGGCGTCTTGAAAGTGAGCAATTAGTTAATAGTATAAATTTTAGATTCAGCCAAACCAAGGTACAAATTCTAGGAATGACACTTAGCTGGCAGCTGTGAGCAAGTCACTTAATTTCTCTAAACTTAAGTTACTTTATTTTTAAAATAGAGAAATTTTAGTTATTTTATTTCTAAAATTGAGATGACATAAAGTTGTAAGGATTAAGTAAGAGTATGGAAATAAAATGCTACACGTGTAATAAATATTCAATAAATGGCAGCTGTTATAAACAAAAATTTTAGTTGCCTAGAATCACTTATTACAGTGCAAATGAACTCTGATGATAATCTCAATAGTTAAGCATTTCTCTTTTTTTTTTTTTTTTTTTTTTTGAGACGGAGTCTTTGTCACCCAAACTGGAGTACAATGGCCACCTTGGGTCACTGCAGACTCCACCAGGTTCAAGTGATTCTCCTGCTTCAGCCTCCCGAGTAGCTGGGATTACAGATGCCTACCACCATGCCCAGCTAGTTTTTGTATTTTAGTAGAGAAGGGGTTTCACCACGTTGGCCAAGTTGGGCTCTAACTCCTGCAATCAAGTGTTCTGCCTGCCTCCACCTCCACCTTCCAAAGTGCTGGGATTACAGGCTTGAGCCATTGCACCCGGCCCTTAAGCATCTTTTTTTACTAATTTCTCCATCAATGGACTGAAGTTATTTTACATTCTGTGCATTCTTTTTTTCTTTCAAGAAATTTTAAAATACTCGTGGAGTTAATCAGATTGTATTTTAATTTTATATATTTATATTACATTTAGTAAAATATCCAGCAATTAGAGAGTGCATATTAATGTTGATACTGAAGTGGTGTTTTTAAATGTTCCATGTCAGTGTTCTTTCTGTATTCAAAATTATGTCAAAGATGCAGTGTTTCTTAAAACAGTGATAGGGCTTTTGCTGTTAGTAGACAATGTAGTCAAGCCACAATTAGTTTGACACCAAGGTGGTTATCATATCATTACTTTAGATTATAATTTAACTTTAGTGATATAGTAATTACTTCTGCCAGTTTTAGTAGTCTCTGTTATAATAAGAGTTTTAAAAGGAGAAAAGTGAATTCAAATGTATGCTTTTATTATTAAACATTTATGTCAGGTGGATATTCTATAGAGATGTAATCTTGACTCAGTTGTTAGAAAACAGATAAAATAGGAAATACAAGATCTCTGTTTCAATAATACTGGCCAGATTATTATTATTTCACCATAATGGCAACATCTGCCAGGGAAATTAAAACAAAATTTCCTCCCTCAGGAGATTCTGCCTGCTCCAACTAAAGCTGTGTATATACAGGGAATGCCAGGAAATTCTGACATATTGTTGGAGCAAACACTTCAAAAATATCTTGTGTTTTTTCTGTTTTAGCAACTTCACTGCGTGGTGGTTGGGAGTGAAAATGCCAAACGATATTTTGAAGCAGTTCAAGGATCTAAAGAGCATCAAGGAGAGCTTTTTGGGATCCATAACCTCTTCAAACTGAGGTCCCAAGGGTCTTGTCTTACAAGGGACATTCTGGAGGTGTGATCATCTTCTCTAACCTTTTCAATAATATCTTAAATACAGTTTTTCTTCCTCAGGAAATTTGAAATACAATTGCTGTTGCCTTTTCAGAGAAACTTTTGGTTTTCTTTATCAAAAATGCCTTGGAATTTTTACTTGTAGAGAATAAGAAATGAATTATTATATGAATTATACCTCTAAACTAAGGTTTTCCTATGCATAATTACACATAGTGCACACACATGAACGTATATACAGAGCAGTATGAACTCCAAGGCCGTTTTAAGATAGGCAGAGAGAAGCTTATTGTTTTGAAAACAGCTGCTGAAGTCAGGAACTAAAAAAAGAGGTTTTCCTAAATAAACAAAAATATAAAATGTGTTTTGATTAAAAGTTACCAAATACTCCCTGAGATGTACTCTCATGTCTCACGGAGATTTTTTGTTTTCTGTTCCCAATAAAAATTCCACACCAGTATTTTAAACTCTCCCTGTTGTGTTCATCCTCAACATACAGATGTTTCTTATTCTTCAAACAAATATTTTATATCCTTTTTTAAAAAACTCTTTTAAGTTCTTTTAGATAGCAGAATACTAAAGATATTAACTATTTTCTAATTGATATTCATATTGGTATCATAAAATCCTGGAATATTATCTTTTTCAACCTCCTCATGGGATAGATGAGGAAACTGAGTCTTAGAGAACTTCAGGATATTTCTCTTGATTTCCATGACTTTGTAGTAAAATCTTAATGTACTTAATTTATTCAGTAAGTACCATAAAGACAGTTCAAGGAGCAGTTAGTTCCTGTCCTGGAGGAACTTGAACCATCTTCTCCGGAGGTGGAAGAGAACGTTTACATAATAACCACGTAATGTCAGGAATTGTCCGCTGAACAAGTTCAGCAGTACACCATGGATGGCCGGGGGGAGGAAAGTATATATTATTTGAATCCTATAAATATTATTACTATTGTATAACTTCTGATGTAGACTGCTGAGTTTCTATTTTATAGTAATTACATTTGATTCTGAATTCAGTGACCCATTTGAGTCCTGCTTTTTGGGTTTTTTTCCCCTTGCTTTTTAAATACGCTGTTTCTTTTATGAATTTGTTCTTTCTAGTTTCTCTTTTCATGTCAATAACTTTGTTTGCCCTCCAGCTCCGAAACCCAGCTGCTACCTCCATCTCAGAGTACTACTTGACATGCTTATATTCACGTTAAAGTCATTATCTATAGTATTAGCATTACATTATTTATCCTGTTTTCTGTCATATATTATGACATAGTTATCTGTGTTTATCAGAATAACCACCTATTTCTTTGTTAAGCAAGTGTTATGTGAGACGTATCAGGATGACAGGTTATTAAGTAGAAAAAGTTCTCTTGTTCATTGTGCCGCTGCACTCCAACCTGGGTAACAGCGCAAGACTCCAACTCAAAAAAAAAAAGTCTCTTGTTCACTGGTTATTCTAAGAATGTCTTGTTTCACCTTCAGAAGTGTTTATTGATGACAGGACCATCCATGTCTTACATTTTCTTTTTTAAAAATATCTTTAAGTTCTTTAATATACCAGAATACTAAGGATATTAACCTATTTTCTAATTGATATTAATAAGGGGTGAAAAGGCCATCCATGTCCTACATTTGTCTGGCTAGGCATATCATTGGCACTTGATTATTAAGTTAAATTTTGAATTAAAATTACTCATTTGTCATCATTTAGAATGTAAACTTATTCAGGGTTGGTTAGATTCATGCTGCTTTGGTCCAAAGGTGCTTCTAAATATTATTATTAGCCCCATATAATGGGAGCACATATCATAAAGTAAAAGAAGTATTTCACTTCATGTGAGACATTTTTAATTTTTAAAGGTTGTATAAAATCTGTTTTAAAATGTTTTAAGAAGTAAAAATTTGAATATTTACACTTACAATCTTATGATTTCTGGGCAGTTTCATTCTGTTTTGCATTGACTTTCCATTATCTATATTATGGTTTCTCTTCAAAGATAGACATTGAGAGTTCATTTTACAAATATTTGTTGAGCATCTGCAAAATGTCAGGTACTGTTCATAGAGCTGGTACATACATAAAAGAACAAAATAGACAAAATGATGCTGTCTACCAGAAGTCTACATTCTATATGGGAAGACAAATGATAAACAGAATAAATAAGTAAAATACAGAGTGTATTATGATAGGTAGATTCTAAGGATAGAAAATAGAACAGGGAAGGGAAATGGAAACTGTCAGGGAAGGGGCATTGCAGTTTTAGATGGGGTAGCCAAGGAAGTCCTCACTCTGAGGGCTGCATTTGAGTATTCAAAGAGCTGAGGGAGGAAGGTGTGTTTTAGACAGGGGAAACAAATGCAGAGGTCCTGAAGGAGGAACATGCCCCATGTGATCTCACAATGTCAGGGAGGCCAGACTGGTTAGAGTGGGGTAAGCAAGAGAGCAAGAGATGGAGCCAGAGAGATGACAGAGAGCCAGACCATGCAGGAACTTTGACTTTTACTTGAATGAGACAAAAAGCAGTTAGAGGGTTCTGAACAGAAAGATGACATAGTCTGATTTATATTAGCTTGACTTACTATTGAAAACTAGACTATAGAAGTACAAGGACATAAGCAAGAAGCCAGTTAAGAGGATACTACAGTAATCCAGCTGAGAGATGATGTTGGCTTGAGCCAGGGTGATGGTGGCGGGTGGCGTGAGAAGTGGCTTGATGGTGTATATATTATCCAGCTGGCATTGACAGGATTCGCTGATGGGTCAGATACAAGGTGTGAGAAAAAGAGAGAAGTTAAGGATGGCTCCAAGGTGTTTGGCCTGAGCAGCTTAAGACTGGAATGGCCATTTATCTATAATAAGGGAGTTTCAGCAGCTTTAAGATTTCTAGTACTGCCACTTTCACCTGTTGTAGCCATTTAGCTTCTGTTACAGAGATAAATGGTAGCCTGGGAGTGAGGCTTCCCATCCCATTGCTGTAATAGCCTCCAGGCATGGAGAGTAAAGGACTTGCAGCAATTCAGAAACCATTTGTCATTCCCTAGAGTTCCATAGGGGAGAGTCTCACTCATTGCCCTGGATACCAAGTGGCTGGAACCATGCCATTAGTATGTCTGTGTATTCTTCAGTTGGGCATTTGTAACTGTAGTGATGATAGTATTATTTCTTCTTGCTCTAGCAACACATACAGCCTTAAAAAGTGAATTGATTTCCTTTTGAGGAGAATTTAATATTTTAGAATCTAGGCCATTAGAACTTCTGCTAAATGATACACCAGAAGCTTTAAAGTCCAAATACTTTCCCAAAGATGTAGCAAGCCTGTTATATAACTGGAATATTGTTTTTCATTTCATAGTAGGATGGACCTTTTTATTTTGATGCCTCCTACACCTAAGGGATATTTTCAAATGAATATGAACAATAAATATAGTAACAATATAGGCTAGAATATCAAGTTCCCAATATTCAACATTGCGGTGTTTGAAATGTTAATATGTCCTTACCATAATTATTATATGGGAATGGTTGTTACGGATATCATACTGGGTAAATATATAACATTTCTTCACTCTCCCTCTCCCCACTAGTATTTTAATGAAGTTGGCTGGAAAGTGTTAGTTTTCTGTGTCTGTAAAAGTAAACTTTAAGACAAGAATTAAGAGTATTTTTTAAATGTTTTATAAATGTTTATATATGAGTTTCTTAATTAGCAAGTTGAAAAATAACTTTAAGAATGCTAAAGCAAGCTGCATGCAATGTTTCTTTCTTAACTTCAAGAACAGCATGCCTTGCTATTGCTTATCTGGTTGTGGCTACCCCCTGTGTTGCATGGCTATCTGCATTCTTTCTTACTGACATTATAGAGAGAAGGCCAGGTGGAAGCAGGGATCATGACAGCCACAACATGGTTGAAAGAGGGACCTCTAGCACACAAACTGGAAATGGTATGTAATGTTTCAGCTTGTAGCCTACAACACCTAGAAAACATACACTGTGACAATTTTGTTTCTTTTCCTTTTTCCTTCATTTTATAGCCTGTAAAAAAAAAAAATTAAGAGTCAAGGACACAAAGTCAGAGGACTATGGGTAAAATTAACAATTAAGGCTGATTTAACATTCATATAACAAATTCAGGAGCAATTCAGCCATTTACAGCTAACCTGAATTTTAACTACCCCAAACTGTAAATCCAGTACCACCTAGATAACTAACCCATCCCAAATAAATAATTTTTGACTAAATGGTAAGTTAAATGGAAAAATCACCACCAATGTGTATTTAAAATTATTGAAGCCAAATATTAAAGTTGTTCTCTAACTGAAAGCAGATATTTTATTTGATTCCTTAATTTTGTGATCATCTTAGTAGTTTGCCATCTCATGTACCACCAAATCTTAATTTCATCATAAGGCCATCTTAAAGGTAAAAAGCATGTGTGGAAGGTTTTTTGTTATTGTTTCTGGTTTTTTCTTGTTTGTTTTTAGAGTCTTAACTGTCAGTTTATACCAGTCCAATGACTTTAAATTGGGGATGAAATTTTTATAAATTTAAAGAAATATATGAATATCAAATATTGGCAAAAGTATTAGCAGATAATACTTTCCCGCAATATTTTACTATTAGAAGCTCAGTTTTAGAAAACTAGGGTATATTTAACTCTGACTAATGTGAAAAAGTTACATATTGAATTTAAATTTGTAGCAAATTTTACTTCAAAATTCTTTATTTCTGGTGATCAAGAGCTTATTGGCCTTTTTAATCAATTAGAACAATTTTCCAGTCGTGAATTCTTTACCTTGTTAACTCCTGTAATCTGTCTTATTCTTAAAGCATGATTAGAAGTATCTGCTAGATGACAGTAAACTCCAGTAATTGTTAAGCAGTAAGTTGTATGCTTTTCACTTTCGAAGCCAGAATTATGTGTCCTTGCATCTTAGAAGCCAAACACTCCACTTTGTGTTTTTTTCCAAAATACTTTGATGATACGGTATTCGAGTTTAAACTGTTTTATTTTGGAACAATATTCAACATGGAAAGAGAAAAGACTACTAGACTATGATATTAAACCCTTTACTAAATGTTTATTAAATGTTGTACTTTTAGAAAATACTAAGTGATATACTTGTACCTAAATTACCTGCCCAAAGTTGATTCCTTTTCACTTGATTCCATATTATATCTTGAGGTTTTCTGATGTTTTTGTCATTGTTTCTTCTGTAGCCTGGAGAGCCTGACTGTCAGGAATGCAGAGGTCCAGAACAAGCTGCAGAGCCACTGGCAAAGGAAGTGTGTGATCTCTGCAGCGACTTCAGTGATGAAGAGCCCGTGGGAGCCGCAGGAGTAAAGACTGCCAAAAACAGAGCACCCGATTCAAATAAAGCTTCCAGCTCTCCAGGACAGCTTACCTTACTCCAGTGTGGTTTCTCAAAATTGTTTGAAACAAAATGTAAAGCAGTTGAGGACAGTGATGGAAATACCGCCTCTGATGATGAAAGTTCTGATGAGCAGCCCACATGCCTTTCAACAGAAGCCAAAGATGCTGGTTGTGAGAAAAATCAGGACTCTCTTTGTACTTCAAAATATCAGAAATTAGATAACATCCTAAATCCAAAAGAAAAGCATATTTTTTATAAAAGTGAGAAGACTTTAGAACAGACTATTTCTTCTAAGTCTGATGAGAACAAATTTAAAAATACAGATAAACATTGCATTTTACAGAATGACACAGAATCAGAAGACAGTGATGTCATCTGTCCTACACAGTATACAACTGAGAGATTCCCCGACAATAGTACAAGGTTTAAGCCACCCTTGGAGGTTTCTGAGGATTCTGAAACAGAGCACTCTGTAAAAACAAGAAATAATGATAATGGTCGAAAGACTGATGACAAAAGAAATGGAATAATTTCAGAAAAGTTAAGTCCTGAGAACACAACCCTGAAATCTGTTGTGAAAAGAAAAGGCACCAGCGATATCAGTGATGAATCTGATGACATTGAAATTTCTTCCAAGTCAAGAGTAAGGAAGAGTTCATTGAGGTTTAAGAGAATAAAGGAAACCAAAAAAGAACTTCGCAATTCTCCCAAAACAGTGAACAAAACAAACCAAGTATATGCAACAAATGAGGATCATAACTCTCAGTTTATTGATGATTATTCATCCTCAGATGAGAGTTTATCCGTCAGCCACTTCAGTTTCTCTAAACAGAGCCATAGAACGAGAACTGTAAAAGACAGAACCAGTTTTTCTTCAAAATTGCCTAGCCATAATAAGAAAAATAGCACTTTCATGCCAAGAAAACCAATGAAATGTTCAAATGAGAAAGCTGTCAATCAAGAGCTGTCATATGAATCAATGGATAAATTTTTAGGTAACTAAAGACATTCTGAAAACTTTAAAAAGTATATTTGTTTTATCAAGTAGTCTGTGAGATACTTTGAATTAACTTGTAAAATAGCCCTGAAATCAAGATGCTGCATTGAGGCACAAATAAGGAAGGGCTGGGTAGCAGGATAAATGGGAGACCACATGTAGGTCAAGATAATGTTGCCATCTACCCCAGGACCCCCTCCATGTGCCCCTCTAAATCATAACTCTTCTGCCCCCATAAATACCAATTATTCTAGCTTCTATAATAATTACTTATTTACATTTATATGGTTTTATCACCAAATGTGCATCTCTAGGTGAATTAATCTGTTTTCACACTGCTGATAAAGACATACTTGAGACTGAGAAGAAAAGGGGGTTTAATGGATTCATAGTTCCACATGGCTAGGGAGGCCTCACAATCATGGCGGAAGACAAGGAGGAGCAAGTCATGTCTTAACATGGTTGATGGCAGGAAAAGAGAGAGAGAGAGCTTGTACAGGGGAACTCCTCTTTATAAAACCATCAGATCTCATGAGACTTACTCACTGTCACGAGAACAGCATGGGAAAGACCTGTCCCCATGATTCAGTTACCTCCCACCAGGTCCCTCCCATGACACATGGGGATTGTGGGAGCTACAATTCAAGATGAGATTTGAGTGGAGACACAGCCAAACCATATCACTAGGTATTATGGTCCAGTCTCATACATTTTTTAAAAATGTTAGGCAGTCTTTTTTAATCTACAGGAATCCTCATCCCTTTCATTGCCTTACAATGTAACTATGGAAGTACCTGGACCATCTCTTACAGAGTTTCCCTCAGTTTGTATTTCGCTAATTGCATCCTCTCCATGCAGTTAAACATGTTCTTCTGTCTTCTATATTACCTGCAAAAGAGCAGTTGGTTCCTGAGACTGGATCAGACTCAGGTTCAGTTCGTTTGGCAAGATAAAAGTTAGTGTTTAACAAGACTATAGTAGGCACAAAATGTTTATTCTCTCTTTATGATCCTAGCAGCCATTGATGCTTAATACCTACACTTATTTATTCTTTCATTCAGAGTAGCAAAATATTTTCTGTTTATCTCCTTTCATTTTCGTTTAATTATTTAGAATGCTTTTGTAAAGAGGTACTTCACTACTTCCCCTCATCTACTGTTGCTTACCCAGTGGCGCAGTTCATATATGAGAGACAGGAAAAATGCTAATTGCTTGCTTTATTTACCAGTTTATAGTATAGTAAAAACTAAATATGTCTATATGCCATAAGAATGACCCATTCTTTTCTTAGTAATTGATTCAAACACATTTAATGGGTCTCAATTGATTGCAATTAATAATATTATTAAGGCTCCATTGTCCTATCTGTGGATAGAAGGGAGTCTCTGAAATGAATATTTTGGTTCCTGAAGCCTTTTGGCACGCTGCTAGTCATTTTGGAAGCCTCTTTGTTGTCTAGTCTTAACAAGATGTTCCAGGATCATCTCATCCATTTTCTGTCCCAGACCTACAGTCAGTCATTATTCCAAGAAGTCTTGGTTTCTTTTAGAGAGAAAGTGTGTTTCAAGACCACAGGATGGTGCTAGTAATGATCATTGCTACTGTGGACTTGGTTATTATTTCTGGGCCTTTTCAGTGGCCAGATTGTATATATATCTATTTATATTTATATATATATATATATATATATAAAAGATATGTGTGTGTATACATATATTTGTGATATATTTTTATATATGTATTTATGTATGTATTATGTATTTATGTACACATATTTGTGATGATGATAAAATACCTCGAGTTTATATTTACACTTTTTTGTATTGATACTTAATTTGAGCGATAGAGCTCTCATTTAGCCTCTTTATTATGTTTGAATACCAGTTCTACAATATTGATAATTCTGGTTCTCAAGCATATAGGGAATGATTTACTTTTAATGCCCCATTGTTGCTCATTTGCTTTATCCCATATTACACAAAGAATAAAATAGCAGTACTACCACAGTTTGATTACTGACAACATTTAGGGTTTATCTGTTTTTGCCTCTACTCTCCCTTTTCTTACATTTTTAAAATGAATATACTATGTCTTTCTTGTCAAAGATATAGACATTGCATTATATACTACCCTTCTCTTAGACCTCACTTGGTCCACAGGTAACTACACATTTCATGGTCCCCATCAGTCCTTAATGTCAGTGCTCCTCACGTCATTCTGGTTGTCTGAATCTGACTGTCTGGTAATTCCTCAAGAAGTGTTCGTGAGAATAATATTCCCTGAGATTCTTGCAATAACAGTTTTGTGCCCTTATACCTGAAAGTCAGTTTTGCTGGATGTAAAATACTTGGCTCACATTGTCTTTTCTTGAGCGTCTTAAATATGTAGCTTTGTTTTCTTTTGGCATAAAGTGTGGTATTATGTGTTCTTTTTTTTTCCTTCTCCGTAGGTGCCCAGGGGATTTTTTTTCTTTTCATTATTGTCCAATAATTTTACTAGATTGTGTTTTGATGTTGGTTATCCTGGGTCCATATTCTCATATACACAGTGTTGTTTTCACTTAAATTTTATTTTGGGAAAGACTTGCTTGTACTAGTGTTTTTGGTTACTTTTTCTATTCCTTTGCTTTGGCTTTCTTCTTCAGGGACTCCTATTATTCAGATGTTCAGTTTTCTTTGCCTATCTTCAGTTTTTGTCACATTCTCTCATCTTTTTGATCTGTTCATTTCGTTTTGCTTTTTTAAAATGTTGTTTGTTTCTCTTAAGGCTTATCTGTTGTGTTTATTCCCACTTATGTTCCTTCTAGTTTAGTCTTCATTTTTGAAATTAAAAAAAAAAAAATTTAAGTCTTTCCTAAGTTCTTACCACTTATTGCTGGGTTCCTCTAATTCTGATTTACGTTGTTGATTCATGTCTTTTTCTGTTTTGTGAGCACATCTTTCTAGCACGTTTTCATTGGAGGGATATTATTCTGCTTGTTCTCTTTTTTCTCACAGTAATTTTTATGAGATTTGACCGTGCTGCTTTTCCCTTGGTCATTTTTATATGAAATTACTTACTCTAAATTTTACAAATGAAGCAGAGCTTAGAAAATCTTTTCTCACTTCACAGAGCTCCATATGTTATTTCCATGTAGAGTGCTACACTGTGTTGGACCTTCCTCTCGCTCTCCCTTGCTTTGCTCTAGATCTTTTCTTTCCCTCATCCTTGTTCTTCCTATCCTACTTATTTTGATTCTCCCCCAGCAGTTTTTCCTCTTTGTTGGGCCCTGACCTGGGTGGGGGCCCTGGTGGGTCAGTTTTGGGAGTTCTAGCAGTTGGCCTGCTTTAGCCCCTCCAGGCCTTCTTACTGTGTCCCCCCTGCACCCTCTCAGCATTGGAGAGCAGGAAACTTTCCCAGGTTCAGCTGCTGTTCCCCAGCTGGCCCCTTGTGCTTTCCAATGAATACCTGTTGGCAGTTCTGGGGTCTCCTGTTTTTAGGTCTGTCAGGCGCCCTGTTGCTTCCTCCTCCTTTCACACAGATACTGAAACCGTGCAGAGTTCATAGCTAGTGGAGATTTTTCCCACCTGCTTGTACTTTAGGTGTCATGAGGGTATCTTGTTACCTAATTTTGATGTAAATGTCCGTGGGCTTTTGGTTTTGCCGTCTGGTTGCTGTCTGTTTCTGTGTACAGATTCAGAGATTCTCCTGCTTCTCTTGTTACCACCCTCTGCCCAGAATCTGTATGGTGATTTTAAGGCATTGCCTTCACAAATGTCTGACTTATTCCCCCAAAAATTATGTGAAAGAAGCTGAGATACAAGCAAGGATATTTTGCTATAGAAATCTTAATTGTTGTATTTGATTTATGTACAAATCAGGCCTTCTTTGTGGCTATTAGCATTCTCATTTAAGAGTTCATTATTATATATATTTTGGTATCATTGTAAATAAGTACTGAATTATCCTTTGGTTTGTGTGCTACAGTTAGATTTTAGGTTTGAGGAATTATTGCATAAACTGTTTTTTAAATAATCAGCTTAGTTTTTTGTTTGTTTGTTTTTTACTGTGCAAAAGGTGTCAGTAGTTAGTTTAGAACTAATGCTGTTTTGAACAATGGATAACATGTGTCATCAAAATTAAGAAACATCTGAGTAAATTTTCTGCTGTGAAGGTTTTGAAACTATGTGCCATATATAGTACCTGGTATTTTGAAGTTTAAGGAGAATGTTACGCTAGTTACTGTCTCATCATATTATTTAACAACGTTTTATGTTTGCATGATTGGCAATTTCTGGTTGGAGAGGTTCAGTACTGAAACAGCACAAGTGTTGAAGGTCATACCTGAGGTTCATTGCCAGAGCTGTTGGAGGGAGCATTTATAGGCCTTGGTTCTGGCCTTCTCTTTTATGATCACAATTCAAAAATGAATTATAGGTGCCTAGAAGCAAAGCAATAAAAATCGTAGCTATTTTTTAAACCTCTTTCAGATAAAAGCTATGAGTTAATTTTTTTCATTTCCTAAAAAGCTCTCATCTTGACATTCTCTGGGCATATGTACAAAAAAGACAAAATACAAACAATAAAACTGAGCAAAGCCAATCAAACGAAACTCCCTAGTCATAAACCCCATGCTCCCATTCCATCAGTGTAATCAAGTACATGTTTAAAGGAACAGAGAAGGTTGGTTTCATTCTTTAAATTAGTGAACAACTTTTTTTTTTAATTAACAATAAAATTCATAGAGAGGACCTTCCTCAACCATGACTTTTCTCTTGGCCAAAACCTCCATTTCAAGTTTAAAGATTGTTACCTACTATCAGTAGTTCTCATCTCACATTGATGAGAAGGAAAAGGCATTTCCAAGGTAACCTATACTAACATATTTGAACTCTCTCTCTTTTCAATATTTTTCCTAAAGAGTATTGTGGTGTTGATGTTTCTCTTGAGTATTAAAAATAAGAATAATGTGTTTTTGTGGAACCATACTGCTGTATACTGATACATCACTTAAAAAATATCAATTACCTCCTAGATGGCGTTCAGGAAGTGGCTTATATTCACTCAAATCAGAATGTGATTGGATCGAGCAAAGCTGAAAATCACATGAGCCGATGGGCAGCACATGATGTATTTGAGTTGAAGCAGTTTTCCCAGCTGCCTGCTAACATAGCTGTTTGCAGTTCTAAGGTAAGAAAAATATAGGATAGTATCATCTTTAGTTACCTCATTTTTCACAGAAGTTACTCAATAGTATTTTCTCTAAGTACTCCCTCAAAAATAGCTACAAAAACTGTAAGGGACATACAAATAAGTGTAAAAATCAAAACATTTGGGAGCTGTAGTCATTGAAGATGCTTTAGATTAAACAACAAATTTACACCCAAATACCTAGTAATGTTGAGTTGCTTAATAGTTTTCCTCAATAAAAATTGGCCAGTACCCCCAAAATGAAAAGGAATGTGAGGGAATCACGTAGTTCAATCAGAACCAAAACCATTTCTGCTCATATGGAAAAAGGAAAGTATGTGATTAGATTGCTCCACAGTTTTTCACCTAAAATGAAGACACACACAGATAACTCGTTTCATATAGAATTTATATTTTTAGCAAAAGGATTTTTATACTGTTAAAAGTCATAAATACTTCCTATGGGCTCTTCCCACTTCAAATTGCTGTTGTGATATTTTTGTTTATGCATAGTCACTTTCTTCAAAGGTTTTTACAAAATATTTTCTTCTGTTTGGCTTATTATTTTCTAAGAGCTAAGTGCCTCAGGAGTAATTTGACTGTCACTTTATGGGCAGGAGTTCAGAATGCGTACTGTATATAATACCAATATTTTGCTTCGACCTAGTGCTATTTTACTTTTAAGAATGAAGGTGGGGGTAGAATTCCTCTGAACTATCAAGGGAATTAATTTATTTGTACCTCACTGGTTTGACAAAGGAATCAAATTAGCTTAACAATAAAACCAGAGTACAAAATGAAATTCAGGACCAGAGAAAATATAAATTAAACTGGAAGTTTAAGACGGGGAGAAAGTTAGAATACAAATGCATAGGACATAACATGTTGTACCCAGATACTGTATAAAGTTAAAAAAGATATTGCTAATTTGATTGAGTTTTCTGGTAGGAAAAACAAAGGAGGTAAGCTGTCTATTCAGTGATACCTCAACTAGTGCATGTGGAAATGTGTGTGGGCAGTTTGGGTGGTCAGATTACTGAGTGTCTGACTGGCATGAATGTCTGGAAGCCAGGGATTCCAAATGGCTGTCCTGGACAGAGGACTGGGTTGAGGGGGCAATGGGGAGGCACTCCCACATGCAAAGAATTGTTCTGCCCAAAATGCCACAACACCCTGCTGAGAAAGGCTGAGTGAAATGTTTGTCCTTAAGGAAGAAAAAAAAAACAAAAAAGCACTGGTTCTAGGAGAAGCAAAGCTTTTCCTAGCACTCACTTTGAAGGAAATTTGTCACTTGGGGTTTTTTGGGGACCACAGAACGATATAGTAAACAGCCAGTTGTCTTATAATAGCCCTAGAATAAATCTAATAACGGACTTTGAAAGGCTATCCTTTCTAGCCTTTTTCAATGTAGTCCATAGGCCCAATGCCAAACTACAACTTGTGAAAGCATTCTTTCATGACCCAAATATGCTGCTTTTTATACTCGTCTTCTCATTTGATCCAGGAATGTACCATCTCTCAACCAACACTTTAAACAGCATTTCTGCAGTTTGATTGCCTTGTATGTGCCGTCTGAAAAAGGCAGGCCGAATTATGTTGGGTTTTCCAGAAACTTGCTTTGTTAGGATAAAGAGTATGTCAGAATCTTTTAAACAGATAGCTAATTTTTTATTAGGATTTTTTTTTAACTGTGCCCTTTTTTAAAACCTTCTCCTTCTACATACAAACAAATTTTAATGTGAAATGTCAGATAATTTGGCACACCACTGTAGTGGATGTTAATGAAATAACTGGATACTGGTCATTAGCTTATCTAAATATTTATTAGAGAAGAAATTTACAAGCATATAATTTCTCCAACAATTGACCTAAGAAGCAACCTGCTTCTTAAGCAAAGTTATAAAAATAAAATGCTGGAAACACAGTTTGCCTGTGAGCTCTTACAATCCAAATATTTTTGAGGTGGACAACACAATCTCGTTAGAAACCTTGTCTCTTTACAGTGATTTTCAGAGGGAGGGGCATCTCTTGCTAGGAAACGAATTGGAATACCTACTCCCTGGGTGTTATAATATACCCTTCGAGGCTGTCTATCTCCCTCATCACACATACACCAACTTAGTAAACCTTTTCAGAGAAGTTAAAGAAATTAGTTGTTTAATGACTACATTGTGGTGAAGTTTTAAAGCCACTAAATGGGAGGTCCATTCCCATGGCGCCCTTGCTAGCAGCCCAAGCACAGTCTACAGAAACACTTATTTCAGTGGCTGACTTCAGTCAGTAATTGATACAGCAAAATTTCATTCTAACATTTCAAAGCTGTCTCACAGAATTTCTGAGAAGAAAAGTTCCCAATCACTGATTTCATCATATCGCGTCATTATTACTTCAACACCTTTAATGAGGAAATCATTGAAACACACTCATCATCTTTGGCTAGAGAGACGTACGTTACTCAGAGGTTTTGCAGCTGGTGTGGCAGTGGGTGGCAATAGTGAATTTACAGTTTTGAAAAAAAAAGTTACGAGAAGAAAAGAGAATAAACAAAGGGAAAGGGAAATGAAGCAAGAACAAAAGAGACTCAATCATAGTGTTAGAAAATACCTGCAAACTTCTTGATCCTGAAGTCTCCAAAAAGCTCAGACCTCCCAGCGATAGTACAGTATCTTTCATCTGGGGATCAGTCTAGAATCTTTTCGGTGACTGGTAATTCCTCTGAGTGCTTCATGTCTGTCATCAAAGTTTTATTAAAGAACTTTACTTGTGTTTGAAAAGATTGTGTGTGCATGCATGTGTGTCTGTAGCCAGTTGCAGACATGTTGTCTCAGTAAGAAAATAAGTCCTATTTGTTTTATGAAATCAGTACACAAGTAACAGTTGCCACAGTATACCAGTATTCCAACTTCAAAAGAGTACCGTAGAGTCTGAATCAGAACCTTTAACTAGATTGAAAGGGAATATACTAAAATGAAAACTTCTAAAAGAGAAGTAATAAACACCATAATGCTAGATAAGATCCTATGGTCTTTCAGAGTTTTTCATGTATAGTAATTATTTGATGTACAGTAATTATTAATAACCCAAATGACAAAAACTGTGAATCTACTCTTCGAATTCAACCATGGATCTTAAAAAGGAGTAGAATGTACTCTAGAGTTCGTCTGTTATTTTGCTGTATGGAAGTATGTCGCGGAGCTGAACTGTACCTGTTTGTGATGTGATGCCCCCTTTTCTCAGTCAACTGCACGTTTTCAACTTAAGTTTGCATAAAATTTTCTGAAAAGAAATGTACAAAGACAGCCTTCAATTAAGGATTAATCACTATGGCAACTGAGATGTGGTGACTGAAGGGGGAGGATGTATTCTCCCCTCAGTTTCCTGCCAGCTGTCATAGTCAACCTCTGCTGCCTGAATCCAAGCCAAAATATCGACTGTGACCAACTCTAAGAAACTATATCTGTATTTTTATAAATTGGTACAAGTATCAGACTATAAAAGAAGACTTAATCCCTTGAATTGGATGACAGACACTTGGCACTCTTGTGAGTGTTTGACAGAGAAATAACGGGTCGCTTTGTAGTAAAACCTGGATTAATAGTAAGCCCCTCTTTATGTTATTGCAGTGTGGTGTAAATGAGAGAACTAAGCGTGCTGTCAGCCTGGGGCGGGAGGTAGCGTGGGGAAGTGTCTTTTATATAACCAGTGCAGGTTTAAGCACTGTTCAGAATACTGTAAATACGAAATATTGTGTTAGTAAGAACTTCTCTTTCTTGTATTTGTATTAGATTGGCATTCTGTAGATTACTTAAAGAAAGGATTTCTGTGAGCTACGGTGGGTTTGATTGCAGTATGTTTATACAGCTTTTGGAGTCAGCTAGGAGGGATGGACTGTTTACAGTGAGCAGACTTTGGGGAGATAGAGCATTCCATTATCCTGTTTTTCAGGATAATGAATGGCATGATGATTTAAAGTAATTGTTCACAAATGGCTGGTTTACAAAGTAGTCCAGTAAGCAAGGTTTACGGTTTCAGCATGTAACTCTTACTGGGTGGGATACTTCATGGTCTTAATCGTTTCTCTTTTTGTAGCTAGACATTAATTTTATGGCATTTGTATCAGAAAGTTACCCTTTCAAATAATTTTAGTAGAAATCAAGATTTTAAAATGTGTGTGTGTGTGTATGAAATTATGTGACTGGTATTGACATGAAAAAGGCGTTTGTGCTTCTACACCTAGAAGTAGGATTGGTTGTAGATAGCTTTCTGATTCGGAAGATAATATGTCATTTGAATAGAAAATACCTGTTACTTAGGAGGAAGGAGAATCCAGTTTTTAAACTATAAACATAGAGACCTATTCCCCTGCTAGCTGGAGGCTACAAGAAGCTGTAGCATCTTTCCGCACAATGGTGATACCAGGATTCATGGACTAATGTAACTGATGAGCTGATGTGTGCAAAACACATTCAACACCTTGCAAGAAAGGCATTGAAATTACTCAAAAAATGTAATTTTTTATTATTGTAATTATGATTATTGCTTACCAATGGGGTGATGTGTAAATAAGTCTCCACAATAACCTGCTATTTGCTTCTCTGGTTCCTTGTTTAAAATTCTTTGTCACCTGTGTCTGCTGATTGAACTCCTACCCCTTGTATCATCTGTGACAGCTCTCCCCCAACTCTTCTCCAAAGCAATATAAATTTTTCCTCATTCTTCTCCTTACTTGTTTGTGTTTATCTGCTATAGCAGTTATCTCATTGTATTATGCAATACTAGATGAGTATGTACAAGATGCTTTTGAGTGCAGGAAATAGAATAACCATCAAACATTGGGCTATATAGTAAGTCACTAAACTAATTCAAATAACAGCAGGTCTGGAAGGAGGCATTTTCAGGTGTGACAGCCCCATGACACTATAGTGTCGCTAAACTAATTCAAATAACAGCAGGTCTGGAAGCAGGCATTTTCAGGTGTGACAGCCCCATGACACTATAGT